TTATTTACCATTTGAAACAATATTAACAACTCTCAGTACAAACTTTTTGAAAAAAAAAACATTCTTCATAGAAATCCTTGAGTGCTTAAGGTGCATTTTTAAATATGCATCATCACTTTACCTATTTGCACTTTGGATGGCTTTTTGGACTGATTAGTTTTACGTTACACAGTATATGCAGTATCATGCATGACCTGTTCATTATTGTTAGTAGGATCTCTGGAGTATTCGGGAAGACAGGTTGAAGAACTAAATCAACTTTGGCTTGTTTACTTGGGAAAGGATCTCTGAGGATAGTTCACCTGCTGAGAATTACTGGGCAAATCCACACAATTTCCTTGTTTTATCCCTGTTTTCCATGTACATGTCTGCAGATATCAATATATATCTCAGTGCAGCTGACCCAGCTCAAAAATCTTTTAAAGCTCGACACTTTGGAAGTGTATAACATTCATTTGAATCTGGTCTCCCCTTTTTTTCTCACTGCATCATATGTCAGCCATTTTTTTGCCATTATTTTCTATCTATCAGTCATGGCTGAAGAATATGATATCATGTTTCATATGATATTTCAGCTCAAAAGTTGAAATAACATCGGCAATCATAGTTACAAATTCTACTGGCTTTAATGAAAAGTACTTATCAATTTGATCACTTTAAATGCCAAACTACTCTCCATGTTTGAGCTTTGATTCCCTTCCTTTCTCCCAAGGTCTTGAATATTTGGTGTTTTAATGAGTAGGGCTATGAGAACTGGAGTTTGAAGGAGAAAGGTGCACAAGGGCACCTATACAGTCCCTGCCAACAATTACTTCAATTAAATGTCTCTTTTTGGAATCCTGCTGCAGCTAGTTTAAAATATTACCAATAAGAATATGTGAGCACCCTGAATGCTCCAAAGCACCTTTTTTCCTTGAAATCCACAGAGCCCTACTTAATCCTTAAGAACAGAACAGGTAAGACCTCTCTTTGCTCCTGTACTGTGGTTAAATTGTGCTAGCTTTTCCCCTTTCTCTTCTGCATTCAGATAGTGGAAATAGTGACATTTGAGATGAGGAAATGCCCAAAATATTATCGTGAACATGTAGGTTATTCTAAAACACTGAATGTAGGTTGCCTTGGAATGCAAATATTGGGTTGACTCACAGTTCTTAGTCCATTAACTCAACAAAATGTCTATGTCTCTCAGATCTGTAATCTTCAGAGACAACCTCTGAAAACCTCTTTCTAAAAAAAGAAAAAGTTGAGAGAATAAAGCAAAATCTGAGAAACATATATTTCTCTTATAAAAGTCCTCATAAAATATCTCTCTGGGGAAATAATTTCCCAAATGCTCAAAAGGCACACTTCAGAAAGAAGGGATATTAGAAGCATATGCTTGAAAAAGACTGGAAAAAAACATGAGAGTTTTTCAAAGTAATGTAATTTTAGAAAATAGCAAAAAAGGGAGAAGGAAATAGGTAATGTTTTTTTAGGGATAAGCTAATGATAAGTATTTTTCCCCATTTTCTTCCACTCTAGCTGAATTCCATACATTTGCCCTTTCAAATTTGCCTTTGGAACTGTTATAGGAAGAGAAGATGGAGATAACATGGAGATGGAGAAAGGGTTAAGCAGTCCCTGTTCAGTTCTGCATTCTACAACCTATCTATTACCAAAAACAAAAAATGTTTGTTTTTAAAGAGTTTGTTTTAAGCTTTTTCACAGAATGTAAATTGCATTTCATGTAGTTTCTCTTTTTACATTCATTTTTGATGTATACACCAACCTTCTCCAACCTGACACTTCAGGCTTATTCTGAGCATTACAATCTGGAGATTGCCAGATTGGAGACAGCTGATATATATGGTTTTACACGAAAATTATACAAGTACTGTCACCATTTAAACAAGATAAACAAGGCAATTAATGCATGCAGCAGATCCCTTAATTGTGTTCTAATGACAAAAATTAGCATTGTGGCATTACACAAATCTATGTAGACCATTATACCATTTTTCCTATATATAGGGGGATTATATAATACCTTTTTATATAACCCCACCATTTTCTGAATTTAAATATTAATCCCATACTTACTATCTAGAAACCTGAGGATAGGTAATCCCTAGGTATCTTCTATTACTCAACCCACAGTTTCTTTCCTACATGCATTCTTACCAAATTATAACTTGCCTTGTTTCTCTAGCACGGATTCTACATAGCCCCTGACCCTTCTTTCAACACTTTATGCTAAAAGAGTTCACCTAGTCACCTTTGTGTCCTACAACTCTGAACTGGGATTAGCTACAGGTGTATTGCAAAGCTGTATGCCCTTCTCCAATAGAATTGTATAATTTCCCTCCATCTTGACAATATGAAGCTTTGAATGACTGAATTTTGGACTCTCTCAGGAAAGTTAGAGCAATCAATTTATTTAAGATTTAGGAGTACATATGTGTTTAATTAATTGTCTTTCTCAAACCAGTTAAATGGTTGAAATGAAACTAGGTGCCAATTTAGTATACTTTATCCTTGATAGAAAAAGGAAAAATAGGTTTCCACTAAGCACGTCTTAGTTAAATAACAAACATATACTTGGAAATGTGAAGATAACAAGATTTGCATAGGTGATGAAAAGCAATTTCCTTTTTTTCAGAACAGCAGTTTGAACAAAACTCGATTTGAACTTCAATTTTAAAGCTGCAATTAATTAATGAATCAGCATGCAACAATCCGGTAAACCAGCATGAGAAATCAGTCCCAGGCATAAAGATGAAAGCATAGCTGGGAAGGACTTTTCTTGCAAGGAAGAAAGGATTCTATTCTACAAAGCAGGCTGGAAGGCAGGAGGGCCATCACAAGAAGTGCCTGTTATAAGGCCAGTTTTCCCAGAGTCAGAAACGAAAAGCCTTCCAGGGTTTTACACCTGAGTAGCTGCATTCCCCCCCCCCACACATACATTCCAAAGGACTCCATGCTAGTTTATATGATAATCATATCTCTAGCCCTGCTGTAATAAGAGGGAAAGAGGAAGGGAGAAAGTTTTCTCCAGAAACAGCTGCTACCTCTGAGAAAAGTGGCAGAAACTACCTCTGGGACAAAACTAACCTGCCTGGAGGAAACAGCTAGAAATGTGCACAGCAACAAGGCTAGAGGGGTATTGTCTCATACCCAAAAGCAAGATAGACTTCTGAAGAGCAGGACCTGGGAGAGTTTGCTTGAACTGAAGGCGAGGGGAAAGTGGGGTAAGACACATGGGCTATTATGCCAGAGAATAGAAGTGTCCCTGAGCTTGTCTCCCCTTATATGTGTGTAGGGATGGATGTTCTTGAAGCCAGGTAGAGAGCAGCAGAGATCCATTTTTAAAATGAATATTTGTTTGGACAATGTTAATTTAGATTCAGGAGCCAATCTAAGGTGGTCACTGGGACCAAAAGTTTATTCTTCCAAGCTTTCAATTTTATATTCAATTAACAGCCAATGTGAGCGAAAAGCAATGACAGATGCTTCGACATATTTTCAGGCTTTAAGCATCACTTCTAACATGTTGCTACTGTGGTCCAATAGTTAATACAGCCCAAAACTGAGAGGGAGAAGGGGGCTCTGCCTAGCTTACATCCGATAAGCTCCTGCTCCTGTTTGGCTGGGCTCCTCAAGTCTTCCTATCATACTTTGAATTGTTCTCAGATGGCTTCTTCATCCAACGTGTTTTACTCCAGGCTTTCCCTATCATCAACTATTTTAATATCCTGAAGAGACTTATTAATCATTTAGATAACTGTAGATTAGACCAATTCTTCATAATCTGGCACCCTGAACATATGTTGGATTTGGCAGGGAATTCTAATCACTGCAGTCCCAGCACACCCAGAAAATGTCAGATTATAATGGCATAAATTAAATTACAGTACATTAGATGCAAACAAGCCTTTCCCAAACTGGTGCTCTCCAGAGATGTCAAGACTGCAATGCCCAGAATTTACAGCCATAACTGGGAATATTGGGACCAGAATTGACACAGCTGAGGAGTGTCCAGATTTGAGAGAAACGGAGCTTCTGCTAAATATCAAATGTACCTACAGTGTGAGCCTTGTTTAAACAGGGGCAATGCTTTGACCCTAACTTTCCAGTTCTGGATTCAAATCCCCTCCTCTTCCACAGAGCATAATGGGTGGCTGAGGATAATCCTCCCCCTAATTACCTCACAAGGAACTTTGATATCCCTCTGAAGTCCATAGGGTCTTCCCCTCCTCCAATCCAAGGTTGTTGTTTTTTCAGAAACAGAAATGGAATTTTTCCTCAACAAAGGTAACTGCCAGACCCGGGACCTTGCTCAGCTTTTAGGCTAAGGCTGCCATTCGTGCTGAAACAGCCACATAACGGACTTGCTTCACAGGAGACAGGCATCTGCTTGTCTCCAGCGCCTACTGAGTCGTGCACAGCCTCCCCGAAGGCAGCAGCGGCGGCGTTTCAAAGCGGCCTTTCCAGCCCTTCCACCAGGTGCGAGAGGCGGCAGCAACCGCGGCGGGCGAGGGAACGGCAGGGGGCTCTCCTCCCCCGGATGCAGCGCAACCTCCCAGGAACAGCATTTTAGGGCAAGCCGCTCCCGCGGATTTGCCCGGCAGTAGCCTCGGCTTCGGAGCGACAAGCCCAGTAACCTTGCATGGTCACGGTAGCCCGGGCTCGCCCTCAGGTTCCTCGGCGGGAGGTGAAGCCACCTTTCCCCTGCGTTCAGGCTCCTGAGGCGCGAGTCGCCTCGCCCTCCCGCCGAACTTCCGTCCGGGACTGGGCAAGAAACTCTCTCCCCGCCCTCTCCACATTTGCCCCGGGCTGCCCTCCCCCCCCGCGGCCCATCCTCCAACCCCAGCCGTGCTGCTCTCAGCAAAGACTTGAGGGAAGGAACGAAGCTGGAAACTTTCCGGGCTTGCTCGTCTCGATGGCAGGCGAGCGCAGTCCCACAAAATAGCCGCCCGCTCGCGGAAAGGGGGGGGGGGAGGGAAGGCGCTTGCCGCGCTTACCTGTGCGAAGGAGGTTGCCTCAGCCGCCGAGCTGGAAGCAGGCGGGGCGGAGGCAGCCGGGCGCAGGCATGACCCCGGGGTGGTCACGCTCGGCTGGTCCTCGGGCAGCGGCGGCGGGAGACTTTCGAGGAGCGGGCGAGCGTCCGCGGCGGGAAGCAGCGCGGAGCCCAAGAGACAGAGCGGCGGCACAGGCGGAGTCAGAGCTGGGCTGGGGATGCGCCTGAGGGAGAGCACGGGCGGAGGAGATGCGCTGCTCCGCACGGCCCCGCCGGCTGCCGCAAAGCCTGGCTTCTCCTCCGGACGAGAGCGCCCGCCACTCTGCGCGCCCGCCGCCTCAATGGGGCGCTGCCAACGCGGGGCTTCTGCTCTCGGCGCGCTTCCTCTCGTTTTAACTTAAGGCAGACCTTTTGCCTTTCCGTCCTTCGTCGCTTCCCTTTTCTTTCAGGGCTTCCAGCGCCCCAGCTCTGTTTTAGTCAACGGCAGTCAGAAAGCAGAAGACCTGCTCCAGAGATTTCGCTCCATCTTTTTGCCCCCTCCTTTTTTTCCACTCCCCCCTATCACTGAAAAATCTTTAAACAAAGCAGCCCCGTGGATGTCTACTGTACTTTCCAAGTACGATTCATTGTCGTTAATGAAGCTTGCGTCTAACTGCACATCTCATTCGGCTTGTTGACTTGATTTATGGCATAAACGAATCAAGTTTTAAACCAAGCAGTTGTCTGATATCCTGAAACAATTTACATCAGTGATTACCAGGAATATCGATATATTTATACCAGTAATTCCACATCTCCTTTTACATGCTCTCTCCTCTTGAAGCAGAGCAGAATATATCAATCCAGTCCAATCAAAGTTGCCACCTCAGATGTTCTCACCTGTTTCATTAGGTGCCAGAGCATGTTTTCAAGGATGTGGATGAAGCAATATGAACTACCCAAACTGTTTTTTTTTATTTTTGTTAAATGTTAACTTGCACCTCTCAGTATCTTTAAATATAACATATAACTTAAAACTCATTATTATACTGATTCTAAGTGCACTTTACCAGAGAGTAAATTTTCAGTTAATTCAACAGGTAAAGATTGGGTGCAGAAGAATCTTTAATCAATGGCAGTCTGAAAAATAAAGAATGGGTAAAAAGTAAGGTTTTTAAAAATATTATGGCTAATTAATTCAGTCTATCTGCAAAGTTGTTTAATGATTCAGTGATAGGCTGCTTGTAAGGATCCACCTTCTCTCAACCCCTTTGTTTGGTCAGTCAAAGGAAGAGGGGGTGAGAAGAGTGTGGGGTTCTTGCAGAAGATTAGTCAGATACCTTTTATGGCTGTGGGTATTCTAAACATTCATTTGAACAGTTTTCTCCTTTGTGATAAATGCCCAAGCATGACCAACGGGGGTGGGGAGTGGATGGATGGGATGGGATAGCTCACCTATGTCTCTAAATTCTGTGTAAGTGAAAATAAATGCAAATAAACTTCTACATCCTTATATCTTTGTAGATGTTCTGTTTTAGTTCCAGTAGAATGTTATTCCTGTATTACTGAACAATTGTATGTGTGGTATGTTGCAGCTGATTTATTGCAATGTCAGAAACTAAAGGACCTCTTGTTTGATCAAACCAAGAATCATATAGGGTTTTTTTTTCACCAACAACCAGATAGATCTCAGTGAAACTACTTATGATGATACTGAGTTGCAGAAAGACTTGAGTAATTTCAACAGAGAGTAGATCTATCAATGGCCATTGGCTACGACTTTTGTACTCTATGTATATTCTTGATGAGCAGAGGCTGATGATAAAAGCAACATATGATTATGATGGCTCTTTGTATTTGTTCAGTTTCAGTATCTGATATCAGATGTTTCTGCTGAATATGGAAGTTCAGTTTGGGGAAAGATCAGTTATATCTTACATAGACAAGGTCCAATCTTTGGCATCTACACTTAAAAGATGACAAGTAATGAGAAATTCTGCTTCTAGACTATGCTAGGACAAAGAGGCTAGATAGATCAAGTAATCAAAGGCAACATTCATCAGAATGAACAAGAGGACATCAGATACAGCAAAGTGATTTACCACTTGTATAGATCTCAACATGGGGCATAAATGTTATTCCATCCTGTACTCCTTAACTTTATCACCAAGCCTCAAAATATATTAACAATTCTTACTGCTCTTTCTTTCCCCATGGAGGAAGAGTATGGAGTTGGATTGCCTCAGCAATTGGCAGGGTCAAGAAGAGAATGTACCCCTTCCATAGCAATATATTTCCTATTTAAATAGCTTATTCATGTGGATTTTACTTACAAACTATTTTGGAAAGCATGCTTAGGTGAAAATCTGATTCAGTTTACAATTATCTAACCTATTGTGTAATACATTTTGGCACGATGTTTAACAAGGACATCCACTTCACTAAGAAGATGTTTTGCATTTTGGCTGGGTTGGACACAAAAGTACTCTGGACAGAAATGCGGGGTTTTTCTGGGAAAGGTAGAAATGCCAAGAGTCCTTGTAAGAACCCTCATGAAACTCTGCTTTACTCTCTTGATTATAAAGATACTTGATACATGAAAGCCCTTGTCCATTGCACTTGCCTAGGTCCACAGTGAAACTATCAATGCATGATGTGACAAGAAATTTGTCCAGATACTATTGTTATTATTACTGTAACAACCACAATGATCTAATTCAGCTACTTTTCTAGAAAAATATCAGCAGGTTCTTGGTCCACTTTATTCATGACCATTTCTCTGAAATTATTAAAACCAGTCACGTACACCTACATTAATGAGAAAATTCCCATGCACTTACAAATACTTCTCCACAAATGCTTTTTGCTCTAATGTTTCAGATGGTATTTAATTTGCTTCTTTTACATTATATATCATCCTTCCCTAACTTTCTCTTCCCCTTCCCCTCTATCCTTCTTAGCTGTTCTGAGAATTGAAAGTCCATTATGGAGAATGCCATATTGAGGAAGGCAGCCTTAAAGTATTCACTGGCTTTATCTGTTCTACTGCCTGAACATTTTCAATCTAGTGTTCTCATTTTTTATCCCTGGGATCTAATATTGCTTCTCACCTGTTCTATTCTCCAAGGTTCCCAAATAATTTTGGAGCAACTATGCCATGCCTTTTTTATGCATCACAATTTTAGGATGTATGCCTAAGTAGTCAACTACACATCCCATACAAGCCTTTGTAAAAAAAATAAGTATGCAAATTTTGCAATGAGAAATGAAATGTTTCTGTGGGGGAGGGGGAACGAGAGAGAAGGCTGATTAAAGCTTTATTTGTCATTTCTGTATGTTATTTGATTCCTAACAGCGCTTTCCCCCCTTTCCTTGGAATGGAGGAAATCATGGAGAAGGGAGCAATCTAAACTGGAAATACAGCAAATGGAGAAGAATGATATGCCCTTCTCATTGTTTAAAAAGCCCAAGTCAATCCAATTCAATCAACCAGCTGAAAAGCTGCTCAGAGATAATCCACTGAATTTATTGTATACTTGGCCTCAAAAATTTTAAATATATATCAGAACATTGTGAAGTCAGATTTTTTGTAATGGGGTAATATCAGAGGTGTGAAGAGATAGTTCTACTTATTGTTCTACTATCTCAACACTAAGACAAAACTACTTTCAAACAACTGTGTGTACAAAAGAGCCAAATATGTTCCAAGCATACTAAATTAAAGTATTATATCACATATTAGCCCACCTCAAGTGTTATCAGTCAGGATTGGGCTAAGTCTTAGAATCTTGTAAATGCAACTCAGAAATTGAAGAGAGTCACTGACCTATTATACCTTGAGAAGTAATGACTCATAAGTCCAGCAGAAGTCTCTTGCCTGAGATAATCAAGAAAACTCTCTGTTCTGACAATGAGAGATTTCAGTAATTATGAATCTAGGATGAGAAGATGCAGTATACAACATTAGAAAGCATTACTGGCATGGTACTACTGTTCTTCCGTTCACTTTACAGCTTCAGCCATGATTCCACGCTGGCCAGGGGACTTAGTCCAAAGCAAATGCAACCATCTAGAGGACTGGTATAGGTTTACAAATTTCATTTCCCTTTTTGTTATACTGATTCAGATCACTGGCCCTTCTTACTGCAATTCACTGTTGCCCTTATGGTTTAAAGCAGAACACTTCTTCAGTCACACCTGATAAATTTTATTAAACTGCAAAGTCTGAACTTGGATTGTTCTGGTTCATGTATGGTATCCCTTGGATATGGTTTCTCTTCAGTGAACATTTTCAGTTTTTTTGCTTTGTCTTTCTAACAACATATGACCCTCTGGCTACAGGTAGTCCTTGCTTAATTACTACAATTGGGACTTGCAACTCAGTTGTTAAGCAAAGCAATCTTTAAATGAAACCACAACTGTGCTTATGATCTTACTTCAGTTTTCCTTTGCTTTACAGACCTGTGATGCTCATAAAGGATTGGTCATAATGTTACTTTTCCATTATTGTTGTTACTGTGAATAGTTCCTAAATAAGGCAATCGCTACATAAGGACTACTTGTTAAACTCCAGCTTTCCCTTCCCAACATGGCCAATGATTAAGCATGATGGAACCTTTCGTTGTATAGTATTGCCCCTTTCTGCTTTAGACTTCTGCAATCTTTTGCCATTGACCCTAAACATAATAATCATGTCCCTAATGCCACATTTCCCAATGTCCAATATAAGGCAAGTAGCTCTAATTAACTATCACAACAAAAAGTGCAAGATCTTTGCAAGAGAAACATTTCACACAAACGTTACAGATGAGGAGCTTATGGATTAATTGTTATAGGTAGGCATTAATTCATGTCTTTCAAAAAAAATTCTGCTTAAATAATTTTACAGAAGATAAGTACGTTGTTGACTCAAGTGAGTTCCAGTAATTTCATGGATCCATGTAAATTTTTTGGCAGCAGCACTGACACGGTTTGCCTTTGCGTTCTTCTGTATTTTTTATTTCCTGGTCTAGCCTACAGTCCTTGGATTTCCTGACAAACTCACAATTGAATGTTGCTGATGCTATTTAATTTCTGAGACCTAAAAAGTTTACCAATGCATAAGTAAATCTCTTTTAGTAAGTGATCTCAAATAAGGCATGATTTCAGAAATTTAGATTTTTAAATTTAGATTGGCAATTTTTTATTCATAATCATTTTGCTGGATTTTGGTTTGGTGTGAATGAGAGACTGATTTGTTTCATCCCCATAAATACCATAGGGATATCAGGTCCATTATGCTAAGTATGACAGGAGGAGGGGGAGGAACAAAAGGGGCAAAATCTTTTCAATTCAGGTTCCCAAAGACAACTGTCTTTCTAAGAAATGGTAAAAAAAAATGTAATTTCACAAGAACAAGGTAGTAGAGCTGCTGGCATGTGATTTGGACATGACAAAGAAGATGCCATGACAATTGATTCTAGCAGAATAACAGAGTTAGAAGGGATCTTGGAGGTCTTCTAGTCCAATCCCCTGCTCAAGCAGAAAACCCTAATTCATTTCAGACA